TCCCACCAACAGTGCAGAAGGGTTCCTTTTCCCCACAGCCCCACAGCATTTGTTATTAGTTGATTTCTTGATGATGGCCATTCTTTCTGGAATGAGACGGAATCTCAGTGTTGTTTTAATTTTCATTTCTTGAATGACCAATTCTGTTGAACATTTTTTCATATATTTATTTGCTATATTTATTCCTTCATCTGAGAAGTGTGTATTCATCTCAGATGCCCATTTTTGACATTTCAGATGTCTTCGAATTTGAGGGGCCTGATTTTTTTCAATTCTTTATATATCCTAGATAGAAGTACTTTGTCTGAGGGACAGTGGGCTAAAATTTTTTCCTAATCCATGGTTTTTTTTTTTTCACTCTGTTGGTGATTTTTTTTTTTTGATGTGCAGAAACTTTTTAATAAGATGAGATCCCAGTTGTTGATTCTTTGAAGTATTTCTGGCGCAGTTTGGTTTTTGTTTATGAACTCTCTGCCTACTCCTGTGTCTTCAAGATTTCTACCTACTATCTCTTCTAATAGATTGAATGTTTCTGTTTTAATATTTAAATCTTTGCTCCATTTTGACTTTTTGCATGGTTATAGACAGGGTTTAGTTTTAGTCTATAGCATACTCAGAGATAAATAGGGTAGGAATACTTAAGTTTTTCCATTTGAGGTTATTGTTACTAAGGACATGTAGGGAATATTCCAAAAGACATACAACTAAGTTTCATGTGACCCTCAGATGGTTTTACAGTCCATACATCTCAAATATGGAAAGTAGACAGATAAATGTGCAAATTTGTGATAGAAGACAGTCATTTCAATTACATGAAACTCTGTAAATTCTGTCTGCCTGGTTGTATTGAGGTATTTAATGTATCCATGTTATTTAAAATATTTAAACAATAAATCAAAATCAATTTTGTGGTTTCATTTATTCTATAAACCCATAAATCTACCTCTATTATAGTACTAACTGTAGTACACTGAAATAATTGTCTGCATTTCCACCATCCCCAATGAGGGCAGCATCTTGAAGCGAGGGACTGTACCCAGTTAGTCCTACTCTGCCGGCATCCAGCTCACTGACGGGCAATCTGTAGGTGGTCCACAAATGTTAAAGTAGTTTACATTTAGCAGTTAGTTATGTTCAACAGCAGAAATAATCTGATATGTTTCTTGGCATTGGGTTTACAAGTATTTGGCAGTACTTTCTTGGTACTTTCTTAGACATCCTGTGTGACATAGATGCATGACATGCTATTACTATAGAACAGGGTCTCTTTCTTTATAAAACTGATGAGCCCACAGGGGGACTAGAATCAAAATTTTGCTCTTTTAATATGTGTTCTAGTGCCTGACTCATCACTTCAGCCTTTTCTATAACAGAGCCAGGGAAACAAGCTAATATATTATTATTAAACCTAAGAAATCTTGTTCTTTCTCTCTGTCTCTTCTGGAGACAGAGTGAGAAATTGTACTATAAGGGTTCTCTTCCTTAGGAAGTTTACTGACTTTATAGAGTTAATTGACACTGCTAAGGATAAAGTTGTGTATGTCAGTTGATGAAAATTAGAAAAGATGAGAGAAGTTCTGCAGTGTCGATGTTCCATATAGCATTTACTTCTAGCTCTTACGTTAGCTCACTCTGATACCTTGGCCAGCTTTGTCTCTTGGACTCCACAGTGCGGAGGTTGAATGCCTTCTC